TACGTATTAATACCAAGTAAGCAAAAAATAAGAAAAAAAATGAAATTAAAAAAACTGCCAAAAAACTTTTTTTTAATGTTTGATTTTACAACCAATTTTTTTAATCTTGTCATATTTAGCATTAAAAATTAAGGCAATTTTACATAAGGTTTTACCTTTAAACATTTGTCCATCACAAGTAATATATGCTGTTGCCATATAAGTTCAGTTAGTGTAAGGTGTGAACAAAACAAGTGCTAGAACGCTGTCTGCGTGTGTTTTGTTGTTGATTACGGTCAGTATTCAAATATTCTTTGACACATTATTGATTTAGAGGAAAAGATTGATATGTTAGAAAGTTTCACATCGAACAATAAAAACCGGACCTTGGCGTTTGAATACAACAAGTGCTAAAGTGCTACCACTATGATTTACCATTTCGTAGTGGACCATAATCTTGCGCTTATGCGCTTAAGAAGATCCAAATATTATGTAAATATATCTACAGAATAAGAATAGGAATCCGCGATAACGTCGGTGCATATTTTATTAACCAACGACCAATAAGAAATCAACAGCTTACAAAGGATAATAATTATTGTAACAGTTGTTCAGCATAAAGTCCCATTAAAATACCCGATACCTTCTCTTCGCGGTTTGTGTTTGTAGACTAAATCTTTAAGTGTACCCCATAAAAAAAAATCTAGAGAAGTTAAGTCGGGGCTCCTTGGAGGCCAGGCGTAACTACCATTCTCCCCAATCATTTCTCTATACCGTGCATTTAAATTGGTGCTAAGTTCTTGACTTCTGTGATAAGGAGAACCATCTAGCAAATTAAATTTTGTTGTTCCCTTTCAAGCGCTTCATTTTCAATAGAGGGATGGATAATATATAAAAGCTCTAAGTAAACTTGGGAATTTAAATTGACAAAAAATACTGGACTTATTATTCTGAATTTCCAAATAGCGCACCATACTTTCACAGAAGTTCTACCTGATCTTATATTTCCCATATGTTTTTTATTATTCTTGTTGCTCCAATAATGGGTATTTTTTCGATACAAAATTTTAAGTCAGGTTATAAATATGGATTCATCTGGCCAAATAATATTAGCAAATATTAGGATTTTTTTCTTTTTCAAGGTTCCATATATTCTAAAGTGTTGGTAAATCCTGTCGAAAAATGAAACACCCTGTATATACAACAATAAAATAAATTTAAGGTTTGTAATACCCCGATTAACTTTTGGCTGCACCCCCTATGGTTTTTGAGATAAGGTAGTATCCCGCTGCTTTCTTCATTTCGTAGTACAAATCTCAAATCTACGTTCGAAACTCTTTAATTTGTCACTCAACATGCCCAGGCTTGCGTTACACACACTGTATATTTAATTGGTAAGGTACACTGGATACACGTCATGCTGTATACAGTGAAATACAAGGGGGTTTCGTTTAAAATATCAAATTATAGGTCATAGGCTAAATTTGATTGGTTCTCGAGAATTTTTAATTGTAGCAGCAGAAGTCTACTAGATTGAATATTTGTTATGGGAGACTGGGAAATGTGAAGTCAAAAGAAAAAGATCAATCAGAAGCTCCCATACCAGACGGATCGACCAGCTAGTTTGTCACATTCAGATTATTCCTTTAATTAATAATTTGAGCACAACGTAGAAGAAAAGCAGATGACGTAATCGCAGACCACAACATTGCCAATGCGGATCGAGGAAGAGACGACGAGTAACAATAAAAGCAAAAAGCTGATATGCAAGATTAAAATAAATGTTCAGGCGAAATCTCAATGTGTAACAACCAGTTTGAGCGTGCACGTTTCCGCCTTTTTATAGCCAAAGCTTTAATTCAAATGAAAAGTAATTCGAAGCAGAACGTGACCGAGCTTTAAACGCCCGGAATGTTTTCCCCGTCTAGACCGTTTGCCCGTAGAAGCATCCATTTCGTTACGTCTGTCAACAAAATGGCGATCTCGCCTAAACCTGGAGCTCGAGAAGGACGTCATTCGAAATTTCAGTAAAAAATAATTTATTATTTTTTTCTCCAATTTAATTATTTTGAATCAGTTAATTTTTACTCTTTGAAATGCAAGCTGGGAGATTTTTCCAAAATATGTTATATTGTCATTGTCAGGATTTACACAAATGTCTTACTATTATTAATGACAATTAGTAAACTAATAAATTTGTTTGTGAATTAAAAAAAAACGTGAGAATCAGTTGGTTTTTTTTTCTTGTTCTATAAACTTATTCTTGTTTTCGGTTAAGAGAAGACATTAGGTATTCAAATAAGTGTTTGAAATACAGGTTGCACTAATGTCCTTGTCATTTTCGACTCCTAATTGTTAAAATGTAATGCCCTATAGATGGACCCTGGTATCTTAAACTAGTGGTTTTCATGAATCGCGTATACGTATAATTAAAACTAACTCTCCCATATTAATTCATTCCACTTTTTTTGCACTTTTGGATTAAAAATTAACACGGCGTTAATTATTAAGGGCAATTTAGAAACGGGACACGCAATCGTTATTATTTGTTGCGAGCTGTAGTTAAATCAAATTCCTGACCAGACAACTGTTATAATTATTAAGGATTTATATAATTAAATTTTATTATTTTTATTTTTTTTAATTTTTATTAGTTCTTATTATCAATAAGGTGTCCCGCTTTTCTTAATACGCTGTTTGAAGCAAGATTTAAATTTAAATGTGCTATATTTTGACACCCACCCACAGGGTTCATTTTGGAAGTTAGAAAAAAAGTGTAAATACAAAAGTTTGAAGATTTTTGCTCTATTATCTTATGCAAATTTCAGAAAAAACAATCAACTATCGCAAGCTGTCAAAATGACAGCACAATCATATTTTTTAAATCGAATGCCCTATATATTAGTAGCCTAAATCGTAGATCCGTTTCTCCTGATTTCAAAAACATATATTGATAGCAACCATATTATCTATGTTTGCAACTGTTTTAACCACGTTTTGCTTTTGGCAACTAATCAAAACTAATGATCTGCAGCGTAAGTTAAATAACTTAAGATATTTCAAATGGGTTATATTGAGGGAGAAAAAAGCCAAATAATAAAATAGTATTATTCAAAAGGACATAATGTTGTAAAATTTAACCTATGAACATAAAAGGCACAGGCTTGAATTTTGCACTGAAATGTATAGAAGATGTAAATTTTTTAAACAAAAATAATACTTACGGATGCGGCTTCGTTCACAATTGCAGGTGTATTTAATAGGAAGAATAAACATTTTGGGTACACCAATAATCCACACAAAATGCAGTGAAAATCCAAGGACGGACGTTTATAGTTTGGTATGTTGAACAATATGGTGGTCGGACTAATTATATACAAAGGATGTTTGAATGGCCAACGATATTTAAATTTCTTTGCAACTGAACTAGAACAGTTAGAAAATGTTCCAGTTATTAATTATTTAAATTTAATTTGGCATCAAGATGGCGCACCTCCACATAATGTCCAAGCGGTTACTGATTATCTAAATAATAAATATAGGTAGGCGAGGAACTATCAAATAGCCTGCCAACAGCGCCGACCTGAATCCTCGGAACATTTTTTTAGGGATACTTAAAAAATAAATTTTATTATAATAAGCCTGAAAGTTTGCAAGTGATGACAGAAAGACTTAATTTCGTTTTACAACATCTAAATAGGAAATTTAACTTACGCTGCAGATCTTTAGTTTTGATTAGTTGTCAAAAGTAGGACATTGTTAAAACAATTGCAAACATAGATAATATGGCTATCAAGGCAGACTTGACCACTTTTAAACAATTTATCTGACATTTGCATAAGATAATAGAGCAAAAATCTTGAAACTTTTGTATTTACGCTTTTTTTTTCTATCTTTCGAAATGAACCCTGTAGGTGGGAGTCAAAATATAATGAATAACCCTATACAGAGCTCCACTGTCAGAAACAAGGTTCAAATTTCAAAAATTACGATGATTTTCTGAAACAAACTGATAAAGAATGACGCGATTTGTCCCGACAAACAGGCGGCAATGTTCGAAAATTCTTCCCGATCGGAATAAGAATCGCCGTAAAATTAAACACGTACAGCATCCAGTTGTGCACTCGCTAAAATGCCATTTCTAAACGCGTCTCTCCTAATTCAGTCCGTTAATGGACTTTTAAACAACTTATGGGTCCATTACGGGTTGTCCGCGCCGGCCAGCGTTGCCAATTATCGCAAACTGCATTCGAACAAGGGACGGTGGTGTTTACGAACAACCGTGTCCCAGATATAGAGGTAACCCATTGTCCGATCCGATGGCGGGTTCCGGCTTAACAATTTGCGGCTTCTCCCGGATCTTGATCGACGTTTGCAATTTGAAAAAAAGGGTTAATTTAATTACCTCCCTTTGCCGCAATCGATTCGTTTCTTCAGATTCTGCAGTAGAGGCTGGCCTACACATAATTGGAATCCTTGGGATACTTGATTTTTCATCTGTCAGTTGCTTATAAATGCAGTTTAAACCATGCGGTAAGCCGCTAAACTAAGCTAATTGTAGGGCCATCAGAAAGGAAAACAATGAAAGTATTAAAACAAATTGATATGAATTAAGGTGCAATTAAAGAAAAGGGGACCAATTCAGAGCCGATAAATATTATAACATTATAAGGCCAAGGTTGCAGGATTAAAATTTTTAACAACAATTGGGTGCACGCAATTATGGGTGGCAGTTTACCGTTGGGTTCACACTTGCGACTAGAAAATCTAACTTTGCTAAATTTATTAAATGTAACATCGACGCTGTACGGTTTTTCTGTTTAAGTATTAGTTTCGTGTGTATATCAATTGGTTTCCAATAAAAAGCCATTAATTTCCCCTCACTTGGAAACTCGTTTGTTCGAAATCAATTAAGAAAAAGTTTCCTTCATAAACTTCTTCTGTACAATGCTTCTAAAATTTAGTGTTACTAACGGCCCAACATCGATTAGAAAATATACTAACGCCAATGTTCTTTGCAGGTTGCGGGTGGAAAGAGCTGGAGGGGGATGGTGTCCCAAGCAGCAAGTCGAGAAAGGTATTCGGGAGTACATTCAGGTGGACTTGGGGGACATTCACGTAATCACCGGTGTACAAACTCAGGGTCGTTACGACAGAGGTAGAGGTCAAGAGTATGTGGAGGAGTACCTCCTGGAATATTGGAGGCCGGGTTTGGAAGAGTGGAAGGAGTACAAGCGTTGGGACGGCAAGCATGTAAGTTAACGATAGTATTTCTCTCACGTGGAAGCAATGAACAAACAGCAAATACACAGCCAAACTCTTATGTTTATCCAGCAAAATTAATGGTCGAATAGAAATGAAAATCTTTTAACATACCCGTTACGAAAGACATATTCTCCGAAATGAACTTCTAAGTCAGCCGTACGAACTGATTATTGTAAAGCGTGTTACGGCTTCCAAGTCTTACTCGGGAAAAATGTCTTTTAGTTATCGCGGGTGTCGTTTCGCGGACTCAAATAGAATCCAATGCGACGTGCGAGATCCGAAACTCGCATGCAGAGACAGACGGTCCGTACGGACTTTAAACTTGAGGCACGTTTTCACTTAAACTGGTATTCCTGATATGCGTGCGACATAAATGTTGCATTTGTTCAGCTCGGTGCCACCTGTGTGTGTAATATTTTCGACCCGGAAGAGCGACAATCGCGACTGAAAGGGACATATTCCCGTAATTTTCTATGCATTTGTTTAAAAGATTGCCGCACTTACGGATAAGTGTAAGAGGAAAGAATAGGGATGAAAACGCAAGAAAATGTGCTGTGGTTTGATTAAAAGTTCTAGAGTGGTTAATAAGCAGAGCTTTTCTGTAAATATACTATTGAATACTATGCCAAACCCTACGTATACTTTTGTTCATATCCATGTGTACTTTCTACTGGTAAAAAAATGTATTACTATTATTATAATGCAAATAAAATTTTACGTATATAGGATCCTATGAACATAATACTTCTGTTTCTGATATTCAAATACATTGTTTTTTTTTTGCTTTTTACCAACATGATGATTGGGAAAACGTTAGCAAGTTTAACTCAACAAAAACCGACGCAGGAGAAATCCAGAAGTTTTGTAAAAAGTATTACAGTAGCCTGTGGAAGTTTCTTTGAAAAATAGAAAAAACATTGTAAAATTTTTTATACAAAAATAAAGTTATATTATTGTTATAAACATTTTACCTAATGGAATAGTATAATATTATATAATGGAATAAAAATTTTAATATTTCAAGATTTCTTCAGTGGACGGTGGACGAAGAAATAACAAAAAACACTACTTTTATTTTCCACCCTGACAAATAACTTAAGTCTCTGTTCCGCTGTTGTAAGCTGTTAATGTAAAATCACTACAGACATTTGTTGCTCTGAAAATATTTTCACAGAGGAGCAAACAGTGCAAGATTAGTATAGAGCTACATGTATGTATGTAAATAGAGTCTATTAACTTTAAAAGCAGTATTGTCGTCTTCATTACGGATGTAATTCGGTGTGAATTGACTCTTTACTTGCCTAAACATCAGGTGTGGGATAAAAACTTTTCGAGTATTATTTATAGCGTTTTGCTTATTAATTAACTTTTATTCACTAGTTTGTTAAGAAATGACAATATTTGCAGATCATTGTAGATAATTATGTCAGCGATTGATATTCACTGTTACACGCCCTTAACATTAACATTCTAATTACTTTGAGCATCCGACTTAATTGTTAACAATGCCCCGACCTTATGTTAAACGTGAATAATTCAACGCTAAGCGGGATCCAGAAACTTGAATTATGACCTTCGGTGAGCCTGTCCGTGTGCGCCATCAATGGTGGGTCGACGGGGGTGCGACGGATGGGCGAGCGGCATCGACAATTGCCGAAATATTAATTTGGCACCGCAAAAATGGACGCACCGACCGGAATATCGGCCGGTTGTTCAAAATGGCTATGATTTATTCATCGTTTTGGCCAATTTCCGGCTTAGTTTCAATTCCTTTGAATCATTTAGTGGTTTGCGACTATTAGACCGGTTCTAAACTTCCTAAATCCGCGTTCACTGTTTATTTAAAAGCATCGATTCGCGTTCGCCATGCAAATTTTAACGTTCAAATTTTTTTTTCTTACTTACATTTTGCGAATTTTTGTGAGCTTCTTGGTTTCTGGTGTTTTCGAATCCGCGAGATTTCATTTTATTATTTCACCTGTATATATGCAAAATATTTTAGCGTTTTCACGTTTCAGTTCACTTTGTTAAAATTTATTTCTTGTACACCAATTTTAAATTTGAATGCAGCGTATTTTTCTTAAATTTTTCTTAAATGATCATTTTGACTTTTTAGTTGTGAACGAGTTCTTTGTTTCGGAAGATACTCCGGTTTTGAAATTAATTTCGATATCAATTTATTTTATTTTATTTTAATTATGATTTATCAATTAAAGTTAATGGGTTAATGTTGAGTAAATGACTTAGTAAGCTAGACTTTCGCCCTTTGAAATTTTAGTTTTGTATTATGTATATAATATATCTCAATTCTCTTATTTGCATTTATTCCTATTACTCTCCCTTAAAACGCAGTTTTAAGAAGCCAATTTACAATGCGGATTTTATACTAGAAATGTTCTTTCAATCTCAATTTTTCAATGCAGATGCATATAAAATAATTTTCCTACTAAAGCTGTTTGAAATTCATCTCATCTCATCTATTCGATTGAATAAATCACTCACTTTCAGGAAATCTCCCTGTTTTATTGCCTGTATGTATTTTTTTATTTAATTGCCTCTGAGCTATTACCTATTTGGTGGTCTTTCTATGTTATTTTTTGTTATAATTTATTTTGAGAATCCTCAAGGAATACGTTCTTTAGCCATTGGTCAGGCGATAGCGATACTTGGTGTAAAATATTTGGGTATTTGTTTTTATGCACCATGGTTTTGATTATCCATTTTATTATGACCACAAAATTTCTATCATGTAATTCAGTTTGTATGCCTGCGTACCTTCTTTTAGTGTACTGAGGATGGACCAATAAAGGGTCGAAACCCCGGCATATAAAACTGAAGATTTCGGTGATCCCTTCCAACAAACAACTCTCTTAAAAATTAATTAAAGAATAAAAGTTATTTAAAAATGATTGGAAACAAGTAAATTTATAGTGGGACTACAAAATTTTATAACATATTTTTCAAATTTATTGTTTTGAATAGACTAATAATTTCATATTAATGCAGCCCAAATATATATTATTACTATTTCTTATACTCCAATTATATGTTTTGTTTGTATACTATTTTTTCAATATTTATCTTTAATCTTACATGTTCTATCAATTAATACTCATCTTTGCCTTTGCATGTCATTAGATTAGACATCTTAAACTGAGAGTGCAGTAACGGTCCACGTACCGAATCTTGTGACAGAGCTTATTATTAATTGTGTCGCCTAATTAGTAATAATTAAATTAAAATAACACAAATTATCGACTTAATCCCCCACCCTCACCAACACACGGCCAATCGGCAAAAACACGACGTTTGTCTAACGCGAATTAATTAAAAAAGCTTTTTGCCAGGAAACCAATTAAAGCCCCGCGAGTTTCGAAATTACCTAAATTTTTCATCGCTACAATAATGTCGCCCGCGGCGGTAACGCAAAAATTTTACCCCGGTAAATATTGCCGGGCCATTTTTAAATTGCCGGCGTACGCTTTTAATTAATACCTCAAACTAGGCGGGGGCTGTAATTAAAAATTTCAGACTATTCCTAGCACTAATTCGAGAAAGACGCCCTACGGAATCTTCCTTTATATTCGGAAAGGTACGTCGTAAAGTGTAGTTCGGTCCAGAACAACAAACCACTGTCGGACAAATTAATTTTTAAATATTTTAAAAAATGTTTAAATATTTTTCGGGGAAACGAGCCTCAATTCGAAGATCTTGCGGCTCGTTTTACAAACGCAAAGTTTCCACAATACATTAAAACGAAATAATGAGCTTGAAAACGCTTGTCGTGTTCAAAACATCAAAATGGCTGTTATTTGACAACCGTTTTTGGAGCTAGAATAATTAATAAATATTTCCGAAAAATATGCGCCCTTCTTATTCCTAATAATCGAGAGCAAACTTTCGAGGGAAGTGAAGGAATTTCTCAGAAGCGAAATTTACAGCAGCCTTGTTTAGCTACAAAAGGAAGGGTCGGTGGCGGCCAATGAATGCCAAGAAGAGGAAGAAATAGCCACACACGCGTTATACCAACGTTTTCATCTGCTGAACGCATCCATACCAGAAGCAACAAGCAACTCAAAACAAACACTATCAAAGCTGAGAAAACTAATCAGAAAGACGAACCTCTAATTATTGAAGGAGTCACAATATATCTTTTGATTTGCGTGACCGATGGCTCTCCCAATCTAAATCTTAAATCATGACCTAACCCACGTGAAACAAACTTTGGCAGCGTTTTTCGCAAATTTAGGGAAAAAAGAAAAAGTGCGAACTTACATTTTCGAATATCTGATTCAAACCAAACTACTTTTTATTCTTTTTGTCTTGATCATAACCTAAAAAGAAATTTAGTATGTAGATAGTATACTAAATTTTTATAGAAATAAATGTCTTATTTTTATTGAAATATTTATCCTGGACCACTGTCAACGCGCGTGCCATAAAATGACGGCAATATTGAATGAAAATTCACAAATCACCTCTCAACCGAGAGTACAGGCTATCAGTGCATATAATTGACAAATTCTAAATTTCTTTTAATATTGAAGAATTTCAAAATAAAACAAAAAAATCCTATTTACGCTAAAAAGAAATGTATTTGCGATCAAAATATATTTTCGCCATCAAAATTTTAATGCCAAGAAAAAAATAAGGACGCAACCGATATTTGAGTTCCCAATAATTTTTCAAAATAAACGTCGAAATCGACCTAACCCGTACGATACCCGCCACGGGGCCATATATCTTCATCAATAGGACTTAATTTAAACCCGACGCGGCAAAGTTATAAATCTCGTACAATCTTTCGCGCGAATCGATCACCCCAGAACTACATTTCTCGCGTGCGGCCACCTCGGCCGTCTCTCTCGTCCGTGTTTCCCTTATATTACTTAAAATAAACGACCGACTGTTACGTGTGTGTTTGCCTTAAGCACGCCACGCCGCGGTTCCGTCGGTAACTTTCGGTATTTATCCACAGAAAATACTAA